TAAGTTGCCAACAAATTTGCATTGATGATGATCGTCATCAAGTGTCCGGTGATTTATGATAGGCCACTGTACATGTACTAGTACATACCGACCGATACAAATAGTTACTTAGCTATTGATACCAATGGGAGTATATTATTCTGATACCAATGGGGGTCAACAGACAATATACAATATAAAATTAATAACTATGAGATCTTTATATCAAAAATTGTATTCTAACTTATGTTGATAATAATGTGGTGTTAATATTAACTTTGTTGATATTATCAAGAATTGGTTGTATTAAAATTAGCGAACTTTAAGCTAATGATAAATTTTTTTATTGGATTTACAATAAATAAATCGAATTTTTGTTACTCATGTTAATCTGGTAAAATCACGTATTTTAACATTTCGCATTATATGCACAATTTCAACTTTGTGACCGACTCATTATTAAAAACTGAGCTCCTTGCGTTTAATAGGAATTTTAGCCTGAAAATGCAATCATATTTTTGTTGAGCATGATCTAGAGCGTCTTGTACAATTATTTCAGATTCGGAGTCGAGTGCTGATGTTGCTACATCTAATAATAGTTTTGGATTTCGAATTAATACTCGTGCTATTGCGACGCGCTAATTCATGTGAATAAAATGTATTTGAAATAAAATTATTCGCGTATTAATAAATAGTAACCTGTTTCTGTCCGCCGCTCAACTGAATTCTTTTTTCACAAACAGGCGTATCCTTCTTTCCATACGCAATATTCTCACCAATAGTTATATCAAAAAGAACCGGCTCTTGACCACTAATGCCATGTTTTATCTCAAATATTCGAGATTCCAATCCTTGACATCTGCTTGCTCAACATTTACGGTGCCAGAGTCAATGTCATAATATTAAAGAACAAAGAGATAATAGCAAATTTACCACAAACCAGATGGACCGACTAATGCAACATTCTTTCCGGCGAAAATTTCAGTATCAAGACCTCTTAGAATTCTGACATTTCGTCGTTCTGAATTCGAACATTAGACATATTACATATCAGTCTGATCGTATTTTTTCTTCAATTTCGGTTGGATCAATAATGATTTCTATCAAACAATTTGAAAACGGACATTGTAACTATTTTCGCATTAGCTGTATTAGTATTAGGTTGAAGGTAAAAGAAAAAAAATTTAACCAATCAAACAAAAAACAATCATGATATAGTTACTTTATTTGGCAAAGATTTTGAGCAGTAAACACAAATCATATTCTTGATCGCCTAACAATTTCCCGCAGTACCAATCTGAGACGCGCAAAATCCGATGGCAAAAATTAAAGCACCACGAATAACTGTTCTATGCGGTCTGGCAATAGAATCTTTATATTTTGTTTTGAATGTTTCCGCGCGATTCAATGCTGCAATTGTTCGTTTTGACATTCTAAAAAATAAAATATAATGTGAAAAATCGATAAACATAAAAGAATCAACAAATTCTTTGACGCGACACCCGCGCGAATTCTCATAGCATAGCCAACAGAAATCACCATTAAAGGCGATGATGCAAATACGACCAATGCCAATTTCCATCCAATCAGCTGCATATACATGTACATGTATACAAGTATGTATATGCTCGTCATACATGTATTGAACGCATTAATTTTTTCGTGTTACGTCAATGTAAATAAAGGAACATCTTGAATAAATAAAATGAATGGAATTTCTGTTTGTAAATTGAGAGCAACCCATCGTCCTCCCCATTTATATTTATAATACAATAAACAACAGAAAATCAAAATATGGACCAGCAACAAACTGATATGGAAACTACAATTAATGATTTACTGATTGTCTTTGACAATATCGTCAAAAATTATGAAAATTTTGATACAAATTTAATAAAGCTTGCTACAATTATTTTGGAAAAAACAAAAATACCCTTGGATAAAATAAATCTTTTACAAAGGTTACAAGATAATATACAATATTCTACAATTCTAGGCTTCATTTATCATATGGGTTTGAATATTGAAAAAGATTATGATCA